CGTTTCTTGGCTTTCTTTTTATCTTCTTCACTGTTATTCTCCTCGGATACGCTATTGTTGGCATCATCTTCTTCGCCTTCAGAACCGTCTTCTTCAGCTTGTTGCTGATTGATTAAATCCAAGACAATATCTAATACGATTTAATATTTTTTTTTAATGAAAATATATTACACCACAATATAACATAAAATTCATTGTTGAAAACAAAAAATTTCGGAAACTTACTATCAAATTCTTTCTTGCGGCTCACCAAAGAGCAGCTCAACTTTTTTTCAACCTGCTCACGAATTTTTTTTGTGGACATTACAGACAAATCAGCGGTCTTAAGTATTTCACTAACTTCTGCCCTCAATTCATCTGAAGGTATATCAGCCATTTTAATATAATTTATTTGTTCACTATTTCACTGATAGATTTTTAATTTATTGCACAAAAAATGAACAGCAAGAAAAATCCTTAACGAGTTCGGCGTCTATTTTTTTACGGCGTGTGAGCGAGAAAACTGTTTGACAGTAGCGGCAAAATGAAGTATAGAATTTAACGAAAAAACACACCAGAGTTGACAGTTGGAAATCGCAATCGCAGCCAACTTAACATGTAATAAAATATATGTTCAGTTTAATCTAAAATCAGTTTTATATGAATATTTCTAATCATATATAAAAAAAAGTAATTATTCTATTGAAATGCTGTTTTAATGCACTTTTAGTGGAATTCTCATTTTTGATTGGGGCAAAATGTACAACACTGTAGATTAATTTATACTGCTCTAGATATTTTGTCAGAGAAGCATGATTGCCTCAAATGAATAGCTGTTCTATATGATTTGACCGTTAAACTGTGATATGATTCTACATATGAATTTCTGATTAATGTAAATATTTAATAACATTACTAATAAACTCTAAATATGTTCGGTTGGGCAACAACATTTTAACAGATCGAGAATAAATTGCGATTATATTTACAATATAATAAGTAATATTTTTATGTACATGATGGCAAAATTATGTGGAGAATAAGGACAAAATGAAGCATATGTCGGCTAGTGGTAAATATGTGCGTCACTCGAACATCGAACTGGCGACTATACTATCGAATCTGTTACGAATTTAATCTACCTTGGCACCACAGTAAAGAACAACAGTGATATCAGTCTGAAGAGCAGAGGAAAAATCACTATCGCCAATAGGTGCTACTATGGGCAATTGGGATTTTGAATTGTCTCTGCACAAACAAAAGTACGCTGTTCACAGCTGTTAAATAATTTCAAGGTAAATTTACAACTTTGGTAAAATTTTTCAACAAAATAGCTGACTGTTAGCTCTATAAAAAAACATTTTGAGGCAATCTAAACTTAAACAACTCCGCTTTGATAAATGGTGATTATGCTGATTTCTTGGTAATATTTACAAAAAATTTAAGATTTAGGTGAATAATTTTGTTTATTTTATTAATTAAATTTAATCAACTGCTTTAATAAATCATTTTTTTTTTACTTCCTTCCGGAATTTATTTCATTTACAATACAATGTCAACTAGTTATGCGAACAGCTGATTTATGCGATGAAAACTTAAGTATATGTATATCTCAGGATTTTTGAAATTTAATCATTTTTAAATTAGAATTCCCTAAGATTATTTTTTCTTTCTGTTATGTGCTTTAACCACCATTATTCTGAATCATATGGGAATGGGAGTTTTTCTCTATTTTGTACAAAATCCTTCCCAAGCAAATTATGTGGGAGATAAGTTTAAAAAGATCATTTGTTTTTTACATTTACTTTTTGAATTGCTTGTGTTTTTGTTATAAATGTCTGACGTTTTGTTTATTTTCATTCTTACTTCTGAACAGTTTGATAATCACTGCAATATTCAAACCATACTTTTTACGCACATTCTTAACAAAACAGGTTCTATTGATATTTCTTTAACTATCGACCGCTTGGTGGCTAAGTGACTAAATTCACGAAACGAAAAGAGATAAAGAATGAATGAAAGACAAAATAAAAAACAAAAAAATAGCTGTCAAATGCTCCACAGAAAATGTCAGGCAAAAATGTAAAAAATCTGATGAAGTAAAAAATCTACGTCTGTGTTTTTAAATGAAAAATTTATACAAAAAAACGTTGAAATACAATTAAAAGTGTTTGTGAAACTTAAAATTTAGTGTTTAATAACTGATAAGTGTAAAAATTTCTTAAAATCACTGCACCAAATGCTGCAATAATTAAACAATAAAAATAACTCCCATAGTTTGTTATTAACAATTTTTTGTTTTATATAAATTACGTGCTGGTACTGTTGTTGCATTTAAGGTAAATATTGCCATTTTTTTATTGAAATTTTATATACTGTGTTAAGTATTTGCTAGTGTAAAATTAAAAATATTTAAATATATAAAAAGTGGAGCACCCGGACGTGCTTCTCAATGTGTATTTTGTTAGCTGTGCACACTTAAGTTGCTAGTGCTGCTGCTGGCTGCAAGGGGTGTAGGGACTGCATAAGTGCACCCAATGCGGCTGCTGCGAATTGGATTTCTACAATTCTAAATTTTTATAAATAAATTTTAAGATGCAATAATTCCTCGATTGCTTTTAGATCATGTGTATTCTGATGTTTGCCTTGTTTTTTTATTTTTTTTGATTTATTTATCTGCAGTAATTGCGATTTGCTTTGCACCATTTTTTGTTTATTTTTTGCATAAATTTTGTTTCATTCGCGGCCTAAGCCTGTCAGAAGTCGAAATTTCTTTGTTGCCGGCGAAACGCCCTAAAACCTTCCAATTAGAAGTTGCTTTTTGTGTGTTCTCCTTTATTCTCTAATTCGTTGTGTTTACGTGTTTGAAATGGAATTTTTGGTTTGCAGGATTCTTCGTAGTTTTTTTTTTTACTTCTCTTTTAGAAATTTTAAAATTAATATTTATTGTAGATAACTCACTGATAAATTTCTCCATAGATCATCGGTAATTAATTGTTTAGTTTGACGGCAGAATTGATGGTTTTATAAATTATTTTAAATAAGCTTTAAACTCATAGAATCTTAGTATTTACTAGACGCACTTGTCCAATTCTATCAATACTTAGCGTCCTACCATTTGCGAAGCAATGAACCAATGTCAAAGATCTTAGATAAGTCAAACCACACATTGTGGCCACCAGGAAATATGCTAATAGCTATTAGTAGGCATACCATTTTAATAAGGACTTTATCTGATAATACTTTCCTACTGGATTCGTTAGACCAGCTAACTTACTTAAGATTCAAGTAAATCAAGCAATCTCAAGTAAGTTAACTGGTCTAACGAAGCCAGTGGAAACATACTATTATGTACTATTATAAGTTAACTGGTCTAACGAAGCCAGTGGAAATATACTGCTATGTTGTTTTCGATTGGTAAATTTGGGATAACTTTTTTAATCAAGATTAACTTTTAGAGCAATTTGTATTTTCGATTGGTAAATCTCGAGCGAAATGTATAAAACTCGAGATTAAATTATAAAACTCTAAACATTTTGCGAAAGTAGCAAGATTACCCTGATATTAGGTTGTGTTTTATATCACTTAACAGAAAAAGTATGATTTGATTCGCTACATGTATTTATAAAACATTTATATTTATAAAACAATATACCCAAAAAAATACATCTTAACTTAGATAAATGGGTATACTAATTCCTTAAGAGTTGCCTTTACACTATAGATTCTCTCTTCCACAATTTTTGATCTAATATATCCAAAGCTTAATTCAAATAGATTTTTATTCGAATAAGTAGGCATGCAAATCGCATAGAAGTTGCATTCAACGATAACTGTTGGAGTTGTGGGTCAGAGAAGAAAATGTTACTCGCTTGCTTTGTCAATCTCTTGCGCTCTCCAAAACTATAGCTCGTTAAAAGCAGCTCGCCAAAGGGTGTATGTTCACTATAGGTTCTTTTTTCCTTATATGTTTATTCAATATTTAAATACTTAATCTAGAATAGCAGGCATGCTAATCGAGATTAGATACAGGCTGTATTCGATTCTCATAGTTATAAGTCAGAGAGTGAGAGGCGAGGAAAATATAAATCACAATTCTAATATTTTTAAGCATTCGTCAGAACATGCTTTTCTACTAAAGGCTTTCTCTACTTTTTAGGTCCAGAATAGTTGTATCTCTATCTAAAATTTCCTGTAGTCACATATTGTGCGGTAAAATAGTAAAAATAAAACTAGTTTCTTTGAAATCCAAACAAGCATACGAAATTTTTTTGAACTCTCTCCTCGTATGTCTCTCCTCATGATTTCGTGGGTTGCCAACAGATCTTATTTATTGTCAAAAATAACATTTATTGTCTTCTCTTATGGATTTTTCTTTAAAATAAATCATTCTTGCTATTTAAAAAGCAAATTATAGAAATCCATATTCTGTTAGAAGATATGAGGTTTGATAGTAAACCAAAGTTTCATACGACCCGACGTGAACTATATTGCAGGAGAAATTAAAGGAATGAAAAGATTTCAGGAGCGTCCGGGTCTATGTTTCACTGTCACTCATCAATTACGACTATCGAGTGCCGCTCACTATTTCCCGCAGGGATTTTGTTGACGTTTCCAGTCATCATTTTGAAATTTAATAAAATTAATCCTTCAATTATTATTTCAAATAAAAGCTAAAACGTCATCTGTTTAAGATTTCTTAATGTTAGACGGGCGTATGAATTCCCAACCTCCCGGAATTGTCTTCACCTAATTTTTTTTCTCCTTCTCCTCTTCTCCTTATTCAGATTAAAGCTAAACTAAAGATTTCACTTGCATCTAAGCAGAGCCAACACATATTTCCTCTGATAGATCCATCCTTTTAGGATGGTAATGCAGGCCATGGTGACGCGTCAGATAGTCTAGTAATGACTT